AGCAAATACGACCCCCTGTCGAGGATTTCCTCGACCGTTATTCACCCTGCCTACCACTAATCGGTCCGAAGATCCAGTACTTACTGGCACACAATTTCGATTCTCCACGGAGGATGCGAAAGCAGAAAACAAGGTCAGATAATGCGCGCCTATGTGCAGCGTCCTAAGACCGAACATTCTTAGTCGTTCTTCATAACTGGGTAAATTATTTCGACGATAGTCGTGTGTGAGTCTGTACCATAGGAGCCGTGTAAATACACGCTGTACTTTTTCGATTTTTGCAATATTCTTCTTAGAACATGGGCTCCAGACTTGTGAACAATATTCAACATGTGGCAATACACAAGCCTTATAAAGACGGCTGAGTATAGCTACATCCGAACATTGTATATTACGAAATAGTAGAAAAATTAAAGGGATATTGTGAATCCCGTCGTCACTTGTGGTGCACGGTCCGCAGCCGACACTTTCTCCCTTGTTGAGGAGCTTTCTCGGGGACGGTACTTTCTGTTGTGCTCCAGGAAAAATGCAAAAAAACGCGCCTATCGATCAAATCTCCGCAATCGATTCTGCAAACCCTTCTTTTTGACAGTTAGGCCACTCCACCCTATTTAACGGAAGCATCTCACTAATTCTTTTGCCGCGACGTTCAGCACATGTTTTGAAAGTTAACTTTGATAATCACAACCACCGAATAAAACCCTGGATGAAAAGGAAGGAAAACAGGAAAGAATTTAGTGCAGCGAACGCTCATGTGGAGCAAACTCTGTCCACATTGGTGCGCGCTCCACCCACCAGTAGCAGTTGACCTCTTTTCCTTCGCGGACTACTATCTGCTTTTTACTCGGTCTCCACAATCCCTTGGGACCGGCTTATATGTTTGATAGCAAACTTCCAAAAGCCGGCCCCTCCCGCCCCTCAGTTTTGTGCGCGCACACGCCCACCACATTACATTGACCCCTCACTCTCGCCGGCTGACCTCCCCAACACAGTTTTTTCCCGCTCTCTAAGATCTGGGAACAGAACTGTGGGGACTTGTAGGAAACGCTGCCTACTCAGTGTCAACCGTCACGTTGGACCGATTTCAAAATTTTTACGACCCCCCCCCTCTTGGAGAGTCTCCATACGACCCCCCCCGCACTCATTATGTACTGTACACTGCTAAGGAAAAGCTAACACTAACGGGGAAAAATAAGTGCAATCTAAAAAAAATCTAAAGACACTTGGCTTGAATTCAAACACAGTTAGCAGACGAGCTCTAGTTTCCTGATATCCGGTAATTTACTAATGCATAACATCGCAAAACGAACTGCCTTCATTAGTTGCTAGACAGTACTGCCCTTTAGTTCGAATGGCGCTTGGTGCTAACTTAGTTGGGGGGGGCACGCGGCGGCGCGGCAGTCTGCTCACCTGGGCCTCTCGAGCGAGACAGTGTAAACTCGAACATTCCAGCTTTTCACGCATGTCAAGTGACTGCCCCCACCCCCCACCCCCCTAGACTGGCTACACTCCCCCTGGCCCACGGATTTCCGAACATGCCAGGCGAGCAGACTGCCGCGCCGCCGCCGCGTGCCCCCCCCCCCAACTAAGTTAGTTCGAATGGCGCTTTGCCTGCCTTTCATGAATGGGCGTTCAAAATCACAAAAAATTTCCATTTCGATATGCATGCGCATATCAAACGAGTGCATGGCGCATCTCAGAGCATGAGACTATACCGCAGAAGTGTCCGATTGGAGCACGGGAGCGTTGCATTCGCATTGGCGCGCGCAATCTTCCCCTCGGCGCAGCGCGGGCAGCGAGAAACAGACTATTCACTTTCAAATAAACGTAATTTTGTTCAATATCAACATTTCTTGAAATTGCTAAGTAGATTTGTAATCTACAATACTGCTTGTTTCAGAAGGTAACCACGGTTATGCTTCATCTTCAAAACTGCGTCAGTTATGAGGTAGAAAACAGAGAATTCACAGAAATGCACACTTCGTCCTTTAAAAGGTTGTAACTTTCTTCAAAGAAGGAATTATGAGGAGCGGTAAGAAAATTGGAAAGCTCAGACTGTTTTCTTTCTAAAAAGTGCTCAAGCTTTTGCAAAAACTCTTTCCTTCGAAAAATTGCCCCGTTGGACCGTTTTTTTTCGCAAGACCAGGTTTTTTGGCTTTCAATGGCTATAACTTTCTTCAAATTCCACCTTCTGCGATTCTTGTCCCCCTGGGTTGAAGAAGAAGGTTAGAGCTTTCTAACGAATACTTGAACTCCTTTCAAAGTTGAAGGAGTCAAAAAATCGCCCCGTTGGACCGTTTTGGGAAATCGCGGACCGATTTTTTGCAGAGCGCTGGTTTTTTGGCTTTAAATTGTTATAACTTTCTTCAGATTGAACTTTTTGCAGTTCTTGTCCCCTGGATTGGAGTAGAAGGTTAGAGCTTTCCAACGAATACTTTTTCTCTTCTCCAAAGTTGAAGGAGTCAAAAAATCGCCCCGTTGGACCGTTTTTTTTTCATGAATTTTCGGCGCTACTCTCCTGAAAACACAGGTTTTCAACACTTAAACACTGACAACTCTCTTCAAACTCAATTTTATCGGGAATAATGATACCGTGACATCGCACGAGCTTGTGCTTCATTACAGATGCTAAACCATTTCAAGAAGTTGCCGACAGGCAAATATTTTTGTTCCCAAACTTTTCTTGTAGCCCTTTAGCAGTCAATCTACCATAGGTCACTCTTTTACTAACTTAGGTCCAGTTTGAAGGCATTGGTTCACCTCTAGAATTATATTTGTGTACGTGAGCAGTCAAATATGGATACTTTCGCAGTAGACTCTTCTGCTCTGATGTGCGCCATGCACTCGTTTGTGCTCAATATTTGAAGAAGCACTCAAAAGTTTTACCTCTCACCTACTGTCGCGAGAACTAACGTCTTGATTCTAATCGTTCGATGGTCCCAGCAAGAGCCAACAGCTGCGAGCTTCATCACAACACACATTAGGTTCCTTATAGCGAAAACCACCTCTCGTCATCTACACCCAAAAACCTCTTCGTACTGCAACGTTGACTCCTGCGAATACGACCCCCCTCTAGCGTCGGCCAAATACGACCCCCCGTTGGACTTTGTCCAACGGACGGTTGACCCTGTGCCTGCTCCATTGGACGCCCCGCCCATTGTTGGTCGGCCTCCGCCACGTCATGTATGCTGGGAACACCTTAGACATTGCTCCCTTACACCAATTTTTTTCTGCTCTGTAGGCTTTCTCCCAACCGAGTTATGAAATTTTTCATAAGCACTGCTTTTTTGGAGAACGCCCCGCCCACCGGGGTGGGTCTCCCTAATTCGATGTCTGGCTTACCAATGCACACCTTTACCCACTTTTTCCCAGTTTCGAGGCTGTTTTGTGACTGAATTTGAAATCTTGGTCGTCAGTACCACTCATTTCGATGCACGCCACGCCCACTGTGGGGGGCTCCGCTTAGCTGATGTATGTTTTTACTTCTCGAGATATGGTACACCCATCCCAAACTTGACCTGGACCCTGTAGGTTGTTGTTCGCTTAATACCGAATTTCGTGACAGACGGACAGACAGACAGACAGACTTAGCGCATTATATATAGTAGGGATGATCACTAAACCATTCATTTAATTAATGTCCTTCGCATTACTTATTTCTTCAAGACATCAACTATTTACAGGTTCTCGATATGGTATGAAGAGAACAACAACATGGAAATTTACATCTGACTTTTTGAATTTTGTACATCACTTCTCTAAAACACATCTGAACAATACAACTACAAAAACAACAGCTAAACGACAATCAACTGCGTCTCGACAAGAAGATGTCTCTGAATGGCGTCCTTGAATCAGTCGGCAGGCGACTGATGCCGAACAGGTTCTTCACACTTGGGTGACGTAGAAGTTGGGCTTGAACTAGCCCAGAAACCGACACTGTCAGCCAATATAACGGTATGCACTGAAAAAAAAATGCGTTATGGGCATACTTATTTTTAGGGCACTTTCCACAACGAAAGGAAGTAGGGAGCAACACAACATTGAATTGTAGGTGCAGTTCCCACGGGTGAATAAAATTGGGAAAAACCAATGAAATGTCCGAAATGAAGTCAGAATTTAGTTGCCTTTGGTGTTGAATGTGATAAGAATTCGAGCTCACGGTCAACCTTGCATCAGGACGACTAAAAACTTTGGTGCCACCCATTTAGGGGATCTTGGCGTGATCCCAATTACCATCAGCAGCTTTGGCATGTCCCCACGCCCTTCGCCAATACCACTCCCGACCATCACTCTCACCGCAATGGGTGTTTCTATTAGATTGGAAAGAAAGCCCTGCAACA